CACACACACTTACAGAAAACAGTACTTCTACTTCTCACCCAAGGTCCTCCACAGTCTTCATTTCCAATCCCCTCCTCCCATATTGAAGCTTTTCATCCTGGTTGTCCACCTCCCCATAACACTCCCTTTTCCTTTAGTCCTCACCTTTCAACTGCCCCCACCTGTACATTTTATTTTTTTAGTACTATTTAGCCCAGTTAAGTGGGATCAATTTTGTGATTCCCCCTGCACCCCCCCCCCCCCCACCACCAATGCCATGCTCGTTGTTGCCGTGGGGGGCTCAGGAGATGGAGACCGGGATGGAATGTTGGGGCCTCAGCCCTCAGTTTAGCTAATTTTGTATGGTCTTTTCTCCTTCCCCCTTTTGTTTCATTCTCTTCTACGACCTGGTTAGCTGTCTAACCCTTACCACTCAAGGGGACCTTAAGGAGTGGAATGTTTTTTCTCACCAACATAAACCAAGCTTACCGTAGCCAGTAATTAAGATTTTGTACCCTTACTGGAGGCATTGAGGTTTGCTCTTTCATCAGTTAGCCCTTCCGAATTCAATTCTCCCGATTCCCTGACCCCAGGCTCTCCTTTGACCATGACGCTGAACGCATTCTCTCACTCTCCTCCCATCTCCCCCCCCCCCCAATCCCTTGCCCGTTGTTGTCGTGGGGGGGCTTAGGAGGCGGAGACTGGGACCCAATGATGGGGAACTCCCCAACCTTGGGACTCAGCCCTCGACTCGACTAATTATGCATGGTCTTTTTTTCCCTTCCCACTTTTGTTTCTGTCCTTCACCAAACCCTTTTGCTATCCACCTTCTAAGGTGTGAGAGCCGTGCTGAAAGGATGAAAGGCTGACTTTGTGCCAGTCCTGAACGGCCTGAGGGAGCCATGGGCACGGTATTCCCCTGACTTTAGTTATCTATCCCTTACCCCTCAAGGGGACCCTGAGGGGTGGACTGTTTTTATCCCCAACATAATCCAGGCTTACCATGGCCAGTAATGAAAATATATCCCCATTGTTAGGGGCAATGAGGCTTGCCCCTTTATCAAATAGCCCCAACGAAACCCACCCGATTCCCCGACCCCAGGCTCTACCCCTTCATCAATGCCTACTAGTACAGTAGCCAACAATCAACCCTCAAGGAACATTTCCACTCTCCCAGCATGCTCAACTTCAACACCTCTACCCCCACAACCTCCAACATCAACCACCCCATCCTCCCTTATTAATACCTTACAGCCTTATTACCCACCTCTCCATAACACTACTTCCCCCAACACTACTCCATCTTCGTCACGCCCCCGCCCTTCTACCACCCCTATCTCTAAAACAATCTTGAATACTCTCTTTAGTGCAGCCAAATGGGACCGATTTTTCGTGATCCCTCCCACAGCTCCCTACTCTGACAACACCCTTCTCTTCCAACAATGCCTCCAAAAACAAGTAGGTAAAGTCTCTTTCCGTAGCCGACCCGACCGCTCCCGTCTTGTCACAGTAACATCCGAAAACCAAGCTATAGCATTAACAAAACTAACTGACCTATATGGTAACCCCATCCTAGCAGAACCCCATCCAACCCTCAATACTTGCACTGGAACAGTCTCAATCTGCCGCCACACTCTTTGGGGTGAACTCCCGAGGCCGATCTCTAGAGCGCTCCCCCCCAATCCCTTGCCCGTTGTTGTCGTGGGGGGGCTTAGGAGGCGGAGACTGGGACCCAATGATGGGGAACTCCCCAACCTTGGGACTCAGCCCTCGACTCAACTAATTATGCATGGTCTTTTTTTTCCCTTCCCACTTTTGTTTCTGTCCCTTCACCAAACCCTTCTGCTATCCACCTCCTAAGGTGTGAGAGCCGTGCTGAAAGGATGAAAGGCTGACTTTGTGCCAGTCCTGAACGGCCTGAGGGAGCCATGGGCACGGTATTCCCCTGATTTAGTTATCTAGCCCTTACCCCTCAAGGGGACCCTGAGGGGTGGACTGCTTTTATCCCCAACATAATCCAGGCTTCCCATGGCCAGTAATGAAAATATATCCCCACTGTTAGGGGCAATGAGGCTTGCCCCTTTATCAAATAGCCCCAACGAAATAAACCCACCCGATTCCCCGACCCCAGGCTCTCCTTTGACCACGGCTCCAAACACTGCAATAACTACCCCTTCACCAATGCCTACTAGTACAGTAGCCAACAATCAACCCTCAAGGAACATTTCCACTCTCCCAGCATGCCCAACTTCAACACCTCTACCCCCACAACCTCCAACATCAACCACCCCATCCTCCCTTATTAATACCTTACAGCCTTATAGCCCACCTCTCCATAACACTACCTCCATCAACACTACTCCATCTTCGTCACGCCCTCGCCCTTCTACCACCCCTATCTCTAAAACAATCTTGAATACTCTCTTCAGTGCAGCCAAATGGGACCGATTTTTCGTGATCCCTCCCACAGCTCCCTACTCTGACAACACCCTTCTCTTCCAACAATGCCTCCAAAAACAAGTAGGCAAAGTCTCTTTCCGTAGCCGACCCGACCGCTCCCGTCTTGTAACAGTAACATCCGAAAACCAAGCCATAGCATTAACAAAACTAACTGACCTATATGGTAACCCCATCCTAGCAGAACCCCATCCAACCCTCAATACTTGCACCGGAACAGTCTCAATCTCACCAACAAATTGCCCAATCTATGACAAAGATTGGTCAGATTGTGGAGAAGATCTACTTGCCTGTCTCACAGACTACGATGCAACATCAGTACAATGCTATTCCATACCCCCCAGAGGTCATCGAAAGAAACCCACTAACATAGCCAAAATTACCTTCCGTAGACATGACCTTCCCTTTAACGTCTACATAGGAGGAGAATCCCTCCCTGTTCGTCCATACCAACCTCCTCCACGTCAGTGCCAAAATTGTTGGCGTCTAGGACACCCAGCCAAACACTGCCGTTCCACAGCCAGATGCCCATTATGTGCCCAACCTGGCCATACCCGATCTAACTGCTGTACACAATCACGCACATGTGCCAACTGTGGCGGCCCCCATAATGTATTTTATAGGGGCTGTCCCACCTACAAATTTGAATCTGAGGTAGCAACTCTCAGATTCAAACTCGGACTCACACTGCGTGAAGCCAGACAGGAAGCACGTCGACGTGGATTCTCTCTTACTCCTTACTCCAGTAATACTGCTCATTCTAACACTTCTCCTAAACCCACCCCTCCTACATCTAACCCCCCCACTAACCCCACCTACCTTCCCCAGTCAAACTCTTTTGCCATCCTAAATCCAGAAACTCCAATCTCTACTACAGATACTCCAATCACCACTACAACCCCAACACCTTCCCCTCTCCCTCCTCGCACTCCCCGTAACAGACAGAACAAACGTTCCACCCCCTCTTCCCCTACCACACAATCACCCCCACCATCCTTTGCCAGTACTCTTGAGACACCAGTCCTCTCTTCCCCCCCTCACAAGAAATCCTTTATCCCCCAAAACTCCCCAACCAACTCCACAGAAGAAACTATTGAAAATATTCAAGATTACTTAATGAAAACCGACACTCAACCTACAACTCCTGCTCCTTCCACACTCCAAGTAATTGCTGATATCCATCCTCCTAACGATATCCTCCCTACACCCTACCCTCCTACCCCCTCCCAACACAGCCCATCCCCCCTGACCCCAACCCTGCCAACATTAACTCTCCCACCATCCCCTCTATCCCTTCCACTCCCTCCTGGATACACACGTGAATCCCTTATGTCACAAGTATCCCCTTCCTCAGACCCTCCATCTCCTAATACCCCTCCTGATAGAACACCAACTCCCACACCTCTCCCATCTCAAACCTCTCAGTCCTTATCCCACCCTCTAGCTGCTTCCCCTTCAAATTCTCCAACACGTACTACAATCTATATCACTAAATCAACGAAAGTATAACTATCCTTCATTGGAATATTCGCGGTTTCCGCTCCCACAGACCTGACCATCATATCCTTTCCTCTTATAACCCATCTATTGTATGCCTTCAAGAAACCTTTCTTATGCATACCCTTTATCTAATATAACACCCGACCTTAACCCTTTCACTCACTAATTCCTTTGCCCAGCTTAGACAACTAATCACTAACTCAACCACCCTTCACTAACATTAAATATAGTGCTACATGACCTTAGATGTCTAGCACATTTATCTTGCTTTTAACCATTAACCATTAACCATTCTCTAGAGCGCTTCCTCTCCACAGCTGACCTTACTATTCTAAATTCAGATCGCCCCACACACTTTGATACACGCACGCAATCTTTTTCATGCATTGACCTCTCTCTATGCTCCCCTTCTCTTCATATAGATTTCCACTGGTCAGTCTTAGACCACTTTCCCTATAGTGACCACTTTCCAGTTCTCCTTTCTCCTACTTCATACGTACCACTTCCTAACTCCCCACGCTGGTGCTTTGATAGAGCCGACTGACATACTTTTACTTCACTCTCTGCTATTCATACCCCTCCATCCTCCCTCACCTCCATTTCAGAAATTATACAATGTTTCACAAGTACAGTCTTAAGAGCTGCACATACAGCTATTCTTCGAACCTCAAGACCATATATCTCTAAATGTGTTCCATGGTGGAATTCTGATTGCACTAAAGCACTTCGCTTAAAACGTGCAGCCTGGAACAGTTACCGCTACAAGAGAGGTACTCC